CCGGTGACATTGCTATACCAACGTTTCAATGTAATTTCCCATAGAATTAAAAAAAATTACTTGCCAGTAATGTAATGGCAGAGCCCCCTTGGTGACATACTTTTACCAACATATTAATGTATCAGGCACGGCTTTTTAAAAAAAAAAAAATAATGTGTGCACTGCAGTAAAGGTGGCCACCTTCATGGCTTCAGTTCTGAAAAGAAACAGGGCAGGTCATGCACACAGGTAACCCCGGCAAGGAATGCACTGGTATAACAAAGGCACAAAATAACACAACCCTCCTGGTGATGGAGAAATGTTCTGCAGTTTCACTGCTAGCCCGGAAAATGTCTTGGTTTTGACTCTGCGTTGTGTGACTAGGAAAAAAATAGCAACATAACTGGTGGATAACTACATAATATTTCCCTCGTTTGACCAGGACCTACATTTGATTTAAATCAATGCCTCTTGCCTATGACTGTTTCCTCCAGGGTGTCCAAGTCTTAGATCAGAAGGCCAATGTTAAGGGATGCTCGCAGCAGTAGCCCATCAACATGTGCAGGGTAACAAGTTCCTCATCTGTGCCTTAGTGACTCTATCATTCATTCCTGAAGACAAGACAATACTATAGCAAGACAGTCCTTTCTTTTCTTCCTAACATTAGATGGCCTGCCTACAGTGATAGGGAACTCAAGGAGAGGTGGGGGTTAGAGGAAAATCCTGAACCCTTTACATTTACAAGATTCTCTAATAGACAAATACTTATTCCCAGTTAGAATGCATTGCCCTAATTAGTTAATAAAATGTAGTTTGAATAGTTGGGGGGAGGGGGAGTCCATGAAACTGAAGATCATACTATAGCTAAGTAAAGAAATGATGGACAATTGTGTTCCAAATATGAAGACTGTCAATAAAGCTTAAAATGTCAGAAAGAGTGACAGCAGTTAAGAATATCTGTAGAACTGACATTGGGATTACAGTATAAGGTTGCAACACCCCAACCAGTGGAAGTATAAAATCACCTTGGGAAGGTCTCCATGTATTCTGCTGTCAATTTGCTTTTAGGCAGTGTGGACTGAGCTATAACATGGTGAGAAAAAGGGTAGTGAAATGGCAACTGTTCACATTTCCCTGTTAAACACTGTTAAACACTGGCTACATAAATGCTTAATGTGCTCCCTCTGTCAATGGCACAGATGTGCTACCCCAGCTCTTGTAAACTCTGGACTATACCTTTGGGTAAGCAAAAATGATCAAACATTCCAATTACTTGTCAATTTACTCACAGTGTTAACATTTTACATAATACTTTATAGCCAAAATTAATTGGACTCCTAAACACAACAGTCTAAAAAAATCTGTCAGAGAGTCCAGAAAATGAAAATGCCATCTTGGGAGGTGCTCAGAGCCAGGGAAAGTTACTTTCAGGACTACACACTTTCCAGTCAGCATGGCCACTGGTAATATTAGAAATCTCACATTCTGCTTGGTGTCCCAGCTGTGAAGGTGACAGAAGGAATCCTGCACAAGCTGGGTGAATCTGAATACTAGACTTCAGATCTCTCTCCCCCAACAAAAGTTAGAACTGAATCTGTAACTCTGCCCACCTTGTGTTCTAACCCCATCCACTGTTGGAATGTAAGTATGTTTGGTCAAAGCGGACCTGGAGAAGATAAAGATTTCCCAAGTCCTGGTGGACATGATAAGTAACAATTTTAGTATTGTCTTGCCACCATGGAAATCCATTATCCAAAGGCATAGAGAAGACACATTATGGAAGCAATATTTTTTATAAACATTTCATTCATTTTTCAATCTATCTACATTAGTCCGTGCTTGTCAAACATTGTGTTACATGTTTTGCTTACAATTATTTGTTTTTTACATCTCAGTGTCTTCCCAGTTATCCCCCAAATTCCAAACATCTTTCAAACTTTCAAACCATTCATATACATATTTTGATATATAATATGGCTATTATCACAACACTACTTTCATAATATACAGTATTCTCAAGTCTTCTAATAGCATTCTTATTAAAGGTAGTTCCAGATCCATACTCCAGCTTTATATCTAGTTTAGTTTACCTAAAATGAAAAACCACCATATTACATCTTTATCCTGATTAGGGCTCCCTTATTTCAATTTAATTCTACTTTTTAATATAAAGAATACAGTATACCCTTTTACAATTCTCGATGTTAAATATATACATGTTTTCCAACATTAAGGGGCCCCTTCTCGTTTTTCCCTTTTTCATCTTTCTAAGTAATTCCCTCTTTCATTTCCCTATTTTCACTTTGTGTTTTTGTGTCTCTAAGCATTATTCCATCTTTCATGCCCTCTGAAACTATATTGTGCATCTGGTTTATGTCCACTAGCTCTTTAAGCACTTGGTCTATCTTTGATGAGTTTTCCAGGCTTTTTTTGGTTAATTTTACT